CCAGCTGCCGCCTTGGCAGCCCGGGCTTGCTCCTTTCCGCTTTTAATGAGGCTCAGCCCTCCGGAAAGCCCCCGAACCCTGGAGGCGAAGAAAAGAGCTTGGCATGATTATTTATTGATCCTCCCTCTTCATTATGTGGTGGGAAACGTTAACCCGAAGCGCTGACCTTCAGTATTCCAACGGGACGCCGCTGCTCCCGGGCAGGCTGGCACGATGATGAGGGCACTGCCCCTTCCTTTGCAGGCGGCGCGGAGGTCACTCCGGCTGACCTCGCTCTGGCTGGTGCCGTGTGCGTGTGTCTGGGGGGACGGGGAGGGGGGGGCCTTTAGAACAGGCACTCCACCCCGAGGTTTATTGCATTAGCCGAGGGTGAGAGCCAGGCCTGGTTGACAGGAGAGGGGGCAGGCAGCTGTGTCTCTCGGGGACCACTGAGGGATTGCTGCTTGGCAGTCTCACCTCACAACCCTGCTGGGTTTGTGCCCTCGCCAAGGAGCAATCCACGCCTAGGCAACACGGGCCTGGAAGGGGCCTCCTGGAGCATCGGGGCCAGTCCCTGCCATCCCATCAGATCAGTCCAGTCAGAAATGTATCACGCGCCATCAGCTAACCAGCAGACCTGCCAAACCCACGGGGAAAAACGCAGACATTGGGCTTGGTTTTGGCTTAATTGGCTTGTGAGTTGCTTGTTGGCTAATTTTTGGCTTGTAGCTTGTTACTTGTTTGGCTTGTAGCTTGTTGCTTCTTGTTTTTTGATCGGCTCTCGGCAAGCAGGGGCAACGGGGGCGGCGGGAGAGAGTCAGGAGTTCACAGCGGGCCCGCCACAGGCCCTGACCGCACGCCGGGGGGATCTAGTCACAGAGTATGGGGGGGTCTTAGGGATTGGCTTGCTTTGAAATGCGATTATCTTGATTTTTGGTTTATTGTGAAAGTCGGGTGGGTGCTTATTTACCACGTGAAAGGTGGCAACTGTGCTAACGAGTTAGGTTATTTGCCCCCTCTTGGTGGGGTGGGGGGGTGAGGCTGTCTCTGAGTCAGATCGCTGGGGCTTTTAATCGCATCCCTGGCAAACCTTCCAGCGTACAGTCCAGGGGAGGAGAAGCCTGCCTGTGAGACAACAGCATGTTCTGATCGAGGGGACCTTGCTGGGGTTCACCCTCCTCCATCGCCCCTGTGGCTGGATCCCATTACTGGTTATTCAGATGGTAGTAGTGCCTAGTAGCCCATGGTGCCAGGGGCTGTACAGACACAGAACAGAGACAATCTCCTGATCTCGCTCCTCTCTGATGGCTGTCTGGAAGGGCAGCACCGGGGCCTGGCTTAGAAAGGTGGGGAGGGGAGAAGCCAGGTGACTTGGCCAAGGGCTGGTTGGGTCTGTCAGCCGGCTCGGTGTTAGATGCATCGGGCGTGAGTCCCGCGGGAGGTGGTCCCAGATGCTGGGATCCCGGAGGGGAACGACCCCAGCTAGCCTCTCTCTCCCCGCAAATAGGGGAGCCCAGCTCTGACTCCCCCCACCCATCTCTGTTGTCTTCTAGGTGGAGCTGACAGGCAGCAGCGTCTTTGACTACATCCATCCCGGAGATCACCCGGAGGTCGCCGAGCAACTGGGGCTCAAGCCGCCTTTCGATGCTGTTGGCTCCCCACCGGGGAGCCAGAAACCCCCAGGCCTCACCGGGGCCAGCTCGTCTTCCTCCCTGAACGAGGCCTCTGAGCCCGGTAAAGCCGCTTCTCTTGCTTGGCCAGAAACAGCCTGTGGACCCATCCCCTACCCCCATCCCTCTGCCTCTGCCCCAGGGCTGCGACAAGAACCCAGCAGTCCCAAATGCCCAGTCCCCCCTGCTCTAACCACTAGACCCCCACTCCCATCCTGCCAGGTATAGAACCCAGGAGTCCTGATTCTCAGTCCCCCCCCTGCTCTAATCACTAGACCCCGCTCCTGTCCCAGAGCTGGGGGTGGAACCCAGAAGTCCTGACCCCCTGCCCTCTCTGCTCTAACCACTGGACTCCCCACCCTCTCTTCCCTTCATCTCCCCCTTCTTCCTTTCTCCCTTCCCCAGTCTCTCTCTCCCCTTTCCTCTCCCTTCTCCCTTTCTTTTCCTCTTCTCTCTTGGTCCCCAACCCCTTCCCCCCTCTTTTGTCCCCCGCCCCGCTCCCCGAGCCTTGGAATTCCCAGCCCTTTGTCACCTTCATGTGTGAGCTGCTTCCCTGGGGAGGATAGGAGCCCAAACTCTGTGCTGGCTGGTTATTCACTCAGTCTCACCTGGCCCCCGCCAGCCGCCTTCACCCAGGGGTTGTGGGTGTCCGTCCCCCCCTCCCCGCCCCGTGCCCCCACAACCACACCAGGGCCGTGTGGAGGAGCCGGCATCCAGGAGCCTGGTGGGTGGCGAGAAATGAAAGGGAATCTTCAGTCGCCTTCCATCTCATTTGATATCCGTCTGCTTGGCTTTTATCTGGGGAACCTTTAAAAGATTTATACGAAGCAGGAGCGTAAAAGAGAATGAGATATAAAGCTGAGCCCGGAGCACGCTCTGCCTCCCCAGACAGAAAGCAGACAGCGGCCCGTCCTCTGCATTGCTGGGGAGTGCAGATCGGTGCAGGTGTAGGGGGGGAGACGTGTGCTCCTGGAGGGAGGGGGTTCCACTGGGGATGGGTGCTATTCTTAAGGGGGGGGGAGTTGCAAGCCAGAAAGATGAGGGGCACAGAGTCTTAGCGAAACGGCTGCTCCCAAATGACAATAGATGGGCAGGTGTTTGCATACAGGGGTCGCGGAATTGGGTTTCGAAGGGATCTGTTCCCAGAGGGTCGGACCTGTGGAGTTTGGGGGCTTGGTGGATTATTTCGAGATCGGGGAGATGACCCGATGGGACCAGTTAAACCAAAGAGTCCCCAGCATAAGAGCCAGGAGGTGACCAAGGCTGGGGTCTGGGAGAGAGATGTAGCAGCTGAGTGGGGTATGCTGGAGGCTCTCCCCTTGTGGGGTGGATGACAGTCATCGGGATTGCTGGGCGCCAAGGGCAAGTGCCACACCGAGGTGGGGCACAAGGGAGCTTGGGATGAGCGGATTGCAGGAGTGACGCCTGAGAGGCCTTGCAAGATGACACAGCCCCCTGCCCCTGCTCCAGCAGGAAAACAGACTCCTCCCCCATCCCTGCAGGAGGCCACCTGCTTTTTGAACCTGGGGCGGCCCGTCTCACGCCTACAGGGCCGTGGAAGTGGTCGCACCTCAATTATTTGAGGGCCAGCCTCTCTCTGACAAAGGCCACGCCCCTCATGGTGATTAGCCAGAGCCCCGAGTGGAGGACCACGCCCCCTTCACGCTGTGTGGCGTGCCGGGTGCCTGACCAATGACGCTGATCGCGCCGTGTCCATCTCAGATCCCACCGGCTCCCACGCCCCCCCCAAGCACGACGCCCTGGAACGATCCTTCTTCGTCCGTATGAAATCCACCCTGACCAAGAGAGGGCTGCACGTGAAGACTTCTGGCTACAAGGTAAAGGCGCCTAAGAGTGTGGTCTGCCACGTGCAGTGGTCTTAAATCCCAAAACCCTTCTGTTAGCAAGTGGGAACATACCTTCTCCCCAGTGTCTTCCCACTGAGACTGATGGTGTGGGGAGGATCAGATCTTTCTCTCCCCACCCTATCCCCAGCTCCTTGCTCCCAAAGGCCTGATTGATCAATTTCAATGCAAATACCAGAAGCCTCCCTCCTTCCCCGCTAGCTAATCAGCTCTACTGAGCCTGGGTCATTTTCTCCTGTTCAGGCCTCCCCGCAGGCCCTGCCCGATGCTCCGCTGCCCACTGTCCAAGGTGTGAATGGTTAATGCCAGCCTTTCCTGCTCTCCCCTTCCCTTCCCTCCCCGTGGCCGGCAGCTCTGCAACAGTGCACGAGTTCAAAGGGATCCAGGAGCCAGCAGGAGGCACCGTGTGTCAGGAATCAGGGCCTGCAGCAGAACCAGTCTCAAGGGCAGCTGGGCTGGAGTAGGTTGCCTGATTGGCTGACTCCTGCTCTAACCACTAGGCGCGACTGCCCATATCCCGCTCTCTGACCCCTTAGCTCCCTTTAACTCATTCCTGGCATGGCCCTGGCGTTAGGGGCCCAGACTCTCGGTCAGTGGTACGGCACAGTGAATAAATGTTCCCCGCCCATATACACCCCTCTCTCTTTCTCTCCGACTCCCCCACCCCCGCCACACACAGGTGATTCACGTTACTGGCCGTCTCCGTCCCCGCCTGCCATCCTTCTCCCACGCCCATTCGGTCCTCAGCCGAGTCCTGGGGCTGGTGGCCCTGGCCCACACGCTGCCGCCTTCCACGCTCAGCGAGGTGCGCATCGAGTGCCACATGTTTGTGTTCCGGGTCAACATGGATCTGCAGATCGTGTACTGCGAGAGCAGGTGGGTCCAGGGGCAGATGGCTGGGTCCGGAGTGACTCGGTTGGTGTCAGTGGCGTTAGGGCCAGATTCTGTGCACAGTCATCTGGGAGTAACTCTGGAGTCAGTGCAGGGATAAAATTGGCCTGTGCCTTTTATTTTGGCCTCAGGTTAATACCTGATACAGCCTTGTATTCTGGGATTCTCTCTCACCCTGCTACAAGGGATCCGTTCCGTTTCTGGGAGCCAGGGCCCCAACTGGTGTGAAGCCACCGTCGCCCCATTGGCGTTGATGGGGCTAGATCCCCAGCTGGTGTGAATCGGCTGTCGCTCCATTAGAGTCAATAGGGCCAGACCCCCCCAGCTGCGCCAATACACCCATGCTCACGATCTGGCCCCTACCATCCAATAGCATCTTGGTGCATGGCAGGTCGGCACCCCTTCCTAGCCAGGCTCTATGCCGGGACGGGGACAGTGGCGTGCAGCTAGTCCACCCTTTCCCATCTCTCTCTGCTTCTCCCTGCCTTTATAACTCCCCCTACCTCTCCTCCGTCCACAGGATCAGCGATTATATGGACCTATGCCCCTCGGAGCTGGTAGGGAAAAACTGCTACCAGTTTATCCATGGCGAGGACGTGGAAGGAATCCGGCAGAGCCACCTGGACTGTAAGCATCCTAGTTACGGTCCCCTGCTCTGGTTTGCTCCAGCTCTTCCTCCCTCCGGGGTGAAGGGTCCATGTCACGTTGGTGGGGACAGGAATATAAAGGGACGTTTCAGAACCCAGCGGGCAGGGCTCTCTGCTGGATTTCCTAGCTTGTAAATGTCATCAGCCAGATGCAGGAAGTGCTGTGGGAACGAGGCACTGGGCACCCAGGAGACCAGCCTTTGAGTCCCACATGTGCCACAGATCCCCAGCATGCGTCACTTTAAAAAAAACCCTCTGTGCCTCAGTTTCCCCCATCTGTACAATGAGGTTAATCATCCTTCCTTGGTCTGTTTCGACTGTCAGCTTTTCGGGGTGGGGACTGTCTCTCCCTGGGGGTGTGGGTCCAGCCCCTGGCACAACAAGGTGCTACTGTGACACACAGCAAGTTGTGCCTGCGTGCTGGATGGCTCCGGGTTCCGAGTGCAAAGGAAAGTTGTGTCCCCATCCTCTCCTGGGATACCTGCGGAATTGTCTCTGCCAATGGATTCTCCTTCCCCCTCACCTCCTCTGCCGGAGATGCCCCCGCCCTCTAGCTCTTTGTCATGCGCGTCTTTTTGTTCCGCTTGGGTAAAACTGCCTGCGCCGATCTGGGTCTAAACTGTTTCTCTCCAGCGTCAGGAGCAGCTCCAAAGACCACGTTGCCTCTTTTTGAACTCCGGCTGAGTCAGGTTTGCCTTGAGAGGGTTCTAGTCCCGCCTGGGTTGGGTGCTCTCCTTGGCAAAGCGGCTGGCTGTGCGGCATGCGCTCTGTCCATAGCTGGATTTCCTCCACGCGGGCGTGTGGCACTGTCTGTCCAGTAAGAGCTGCCATCAGACCTGTCCTTTCCCCAGCAGACCTCATGTGCTGAATCCCAGGCACGTCTTGCCGAGCCCCAAGGTTCTTCGTAAACTGCAAATTGTCCCAATGGCTAAAATTACTCATTTAAAATTTGACACCGTATTTCCAGTCTGAATGTGTCTGGCTTCCACTTCCAGCCATTGGATCATGTTCGACCTTCCTCTGCTAGACTGCGAGCCCATTTGTAAATATTTGTCCCCCAGGTAGATACTTTTCAGAGTAGCAGCCGTGTTAGTCTGTATCCGCAAAAAGAACAGGAGGACTTGTGGCACCTTAGAGACTAACACATTTATTAGAGCATAAGCTTTCGTGGGCTACAGCCCACTTCTTCGGATGCATATAGAGTGGAACATATATTGAGGAGATATATATACGCACATACAGAGAGCATAAACAGGTGGGAGTTGTCTTACCAACTCTGAGAGGCCAATTAAGTGAGAAAAAACTTTTGAAGTGATAATCAAGATAGCCCAGTACAGACAGTTGAAAGGTTTTTTTCTCTTACTTAATTGGCCTCGCAGAGTTGGTAAGACAACTCCCACCTGTTCATGCTCTCTGTATGTGCGTATATATATCTCCTCAATATATGTTCCATTCTATGCATCCGAGGAAGTGGGCTGTAGCCCACGAAAGCTTATGCTCTAATACATTTGTTAGTCTCTAAGGTGCCACAAGTCCTCCTGTTCTTTTTGCAGGCAGATACTGATAGACTGGAATCAAGTCACCCCTTAACCTTCTCTTTGTTAAGTTAAATAGCTTGAGCTCCTTGAGTCTTATCACTATAAGGCAGGTGTTCGAATCTTTTAATCATTCTTGCGGCTCTTCTCCGACCCCTCTCCAATTTATCAGCCTCCTTCTTGAATTGTGGGCACCAGAACCAGACACAGGATTCCAGCAGTGGCTGCACCAGGGCCAAACACAGACATAAAATAACCTCTCTGCTCCTATCTGAGATTCCCCTTGTTCTACATCCCAGGTTCGCATTAGATCTTTTGGCCCCAGTGTCGCACTGTGAGCTCATGTTCAGCTGATTATCCAAATGTTTTTCAGAGCCCCTCCTTCCAAAGGCTAGAGTCCCCCATCCTGTAGTACGGCCATCGGTCTTTGTTCCCAGATGTATCCATTGACATTTAGCCGTGTTAAAACGCTTGTGCCCCGTTTACCAAGCGATCCAGATCGCTCTGTATCAGCAATTTGTCCTCTTTGTTATTTACCACTCCCCCAATTTTTGTGTCATTTCAGTGGTGATTTTTATGTTTTCTTCCAGGTCACTGATAACAAAATGGGAAATAGTGTAGGGCCAAGAACTGATCCCTGTGGGACCTCACTGGAAAGACACCTGTTGGACGAGGGTTTCCTGTTTACAATTACATTTTGAGATCTATCAGTTAGCCAGTTTTTCATCCAGTATGTTAAACTGGGGTTGATAGTTGCTTACCCAGTGCTGATCTAGCTTTGGAGAAGTCCAAGCAGGTGCCCAGAATGGGCTGTGGATCAGCAAGGGGATGCAAGACACCTAGGGGACTATCGCAACGCCCTTGTCTCCAGGGATGGATTTGGTCTATGTTGTGTGTATCGATGCACTAGAAGGCAATGGTTATGCCCCTGGGCAGGCAGGCTGATAGCAACCCTACCAAGCTAAGGAGTGTTGGGTTTGCTCAGTTCTTGGATGGGTGCCCTCCCGGGATCACTCAGGACGCTACAGGGAATAGTGTTCATGGCGAGTTAGGGAGCATGCTGCTCCCAGCTGATGCTGACCTCAGTGCCCCAGTGCGGTGCTGTAGGAAGTGGTTGATAACTTTAAGGAGCTCTGAGTCGGCACTGACCCCGTTGCCCCAGCACGGTGCTAGGGGGCGCTGTGCTGCAGGGGCTGCCATGAGTGACACAGCAGGGGGCGCTCTCTCCTCTGAGTCAGTGCTGACCCCAACATGGGGAGCGGGTGCTCAGCAGGGGGCGCTCTCCCTTTGCAGTCAGGGCTGGCCTTGCTATCTTTCAAATCGGATCCTGACCCTTTGTGATCCTTAAAGATCCGCTGAACCTCCCTGTCAGAATCCGAGCATTTAACCCCTGCTTGTCCAGGCGAGATCCCAACCCTGGCGATTAAACCACTCCCCTCCAGTTTCAACTGGACGCAGGATTCTTTCTACACTTCCTGGCCTAAACTGCAAGGCAGATGTTCAAACAACTGCTGCATCCCACCCTAGAGAGGGAGCAGCCGGACTAGGGTCTTTATAAGCGGCATGAAAGCTGCTTTGGATGAAAGACGCAATCCGTTATTAATAATAACTAGCCCTTAACCTATCAAACCTTTGGGCTGGGCCCTGGCGTGTGCTATGGAGTCAGACAGCTTCAAAAGCCAGAAGGGACCACTGAGATCATAGCAATGTCGGGCTGGAAGGGACCTTGAGACGTCATCACGTCCAGCCCCCTGCACTGAAGCAGGACCAAGTAAACTTAGACCAGCCCTGACAGTCTGTTCTTAAAAATCTCCAACGAAGGGGAGTCCACAACCTCCCTTGGACGCCTGTTCCGGAGCTTAACTCCCCCGAGTTAGAAAGTTTGTCCTAATATCTCACCTCAATCTCCCTCGCTGCAGATTAAGCCCATTACGTCTTGTCCTACCTCCAATGGACACGGAGAGCACGTGATCGTCATCCTCTTTATAACAGGCCTTAACATATTTGGTCGTCTACTCGGACCTCCTGTCTAACACGGGCCATAGGAATGCCCTGAATTAATTCCGGTTTGAACTAGCGCAGATCTCTTATAAAAAACCATCCAGTCTTCACTGAACACTTGCCAGTGATGGGGAATCCACCACTGCCCTTGGTCAATCTCATTGTTAAAAACTGACACCTTATTTCCAGTCTGAATTTGTCCAGCTTCCACGTCCAGCCATTGGATTGTGTTAGTCATTCCTCCGCTAGACTGCAGCGCCCATGATCAAATATTTGTTCCCCGTATGGTTACTGATAGGCTGGGGTCAAGTCGCCCTTTAACCTTCTCTTTGTTAAGCTAAACTGAATGAGCTCCTGGAGAATCTCACTTTAAGGCAGGTTTTCCAATCCTTTGTATCATTCTCGTGACTTTTCTCTGGCCCCTCTTCAGTTGATCGACATCCAGCTTGAATTGGGGACATCAGCACTGGAGAGAGATGAAAGGGGCCACAGAGACATCCGAGATGATGACAAGCTGGATAAACCATTAAGGAGCCGTGGCTGTGACAAGTGGGACTGTACCTTTCCTGGGATCTTGAGCGGGGAGGGGGTAAAAGCCCCTTTCTTGGCTCTCTGTGCTCATGAGAGAGGGGAAGGGGTGGAGCCTGGCAGCCTTCAGCTAACGAACTTCTTTTTCAATTAGTGTTGAAAAAAGGCCAGGTCGTGACCCGCTATTATCGCTGGCTGCAGAAGAACGGGGGCTTTGTGTGGATTCAGTCCTGTGCCACCATCTCGGTCAATATCAAGAACCCCAGCGAGAAGAATATGGTCTGGGTCAATTACATCCTCAGGTGAGATCACGTGGCTGTGTTGGAACAAACCAGCAAGCGTCCGAAGAGGGGCGTCGCTGTTCCACACGCTGCGGCGATAGGGATAGATGCGCAGACCCTCCTGCTCCAAAAACTCAAGCAGCTGCCCCTCACTGAGCTCCGGGGCAATCCCCATTAACTGCTGGCTTTGTAGGGTCTAGGACACACAGGTGAGCTGTTCTGAGTTCATCCAGGAGAGGGCAATGCTGTGTGCCCAGGCTGTCTGAGGATCCCAAAGCACTGTATGATGAACTACTGTTTGGATTGCGGTAGCCGCCAATCAGGACCAGTGCTGGGCTGTGTTCCCTGGAAGCTGCGCAGGGCAGGAGAGATTTAAGTGCCGCCCAGCCAACAGCATGTGTTTGGGTGCCCCTCTCTCCACCTGCTGCTCCCTCCTGCAGCTGCTCCCAGGACCATCCTGCTGGCTGTGCGGGGAGGGGAAGGGTGCTGATGTCAGGGCGTTCCCCTCCCCCCCCAGCCCCTGTACCCCATCTCTGCAGAGCAGGGCAGAGGGGACACAGCTGGACTCAGGACTGGGAGCTGCTGCTGCAGGGAAGGGTGAGTGGCTGAGTGCCTTTCTTAAAGAGACAGTGCACTGTTTCTGAGATTTCCCCAACAGCCAGCTCACACAGTGTCTGTCTGTCTGTTACACACACACTCTCTCTCTCTCTCCCCCTGCCCATGTACCCCATCTTGCGTAGCAGAGGAGAGGAGACAACAGGGCTCAGGACAGAGCAGGAGAGCTTTCAGTGAGTGTCTTAAAGAGACAGAGCAGGGCATCTCAGAAATTTTTCCAGCAGCCAGCATACACGCTCTCTCTCTCTCTCTCCCCCTGCCCATGTACCCCATCTTGCGTAGCAGAGGAGAGGAGACAACAGGGCTCAGGACAGAGCAGGAGAGCTTTCAGTGAGTGTCTTAAAGAGACAGTGCACTGTTTCTGAGATTTCCCCAACAGCAGCTCACACAGTGTCTGTCTGTCTGTTACACACACACACTCTCTCTCTCTCTCTCCCCCTGCCCATGTACCCCATCTTGCGTAGCAGAGGAGAGGAGACAACAGGGCTCAGGACAGAGCAGAGAGCTTTCAGTGAGTGTCTTAAAGAGACAGTGCACTGTTTCTGAGATTTCCCCAACAGCAGCTCACACAGTGTCTGTCTGTCTGTTACACACACACACTCTCTCTCTCTCTCTCCCCCTGCCCATGTACCCCATCTTGCGTAGCAGAGGAGAGGAGACAACAGGGCTCAGGACAGAGCAGAGAGCT